TTAAGGTGTTTGGGTATTTTTTTAAAATATAAGTATCATGATAGGGACAATACAATATCAACTCCTGAAGTATGTTTCTCAATCACTAGCTCCTTGAGTCCATGCTTTGATTACTATCTACCCCCATGACTCTGCAGCCCAGGCTGATATTCAGATTTTCCTATCCAACAGACCTACTTGACAACTAGCTCCACTAAGTTATTTTTAAAGTGCATAATAAACAGCATGACGAAAGTGAACTCATATTCTTGCTGCCAAACCTGGTCACCCTCTCATGCTCCATCTCCAATGTATATCACACCTTCTGTGTAAGTGCATAAACCAAAAATCATTACCCTTGACAACTGCCCAACTCATATCTCATTTAGAACCTATCATCAAGTCCTACTGATTTCACCAAGTAAATCTCATCCACTTCCCCTTATTCTTATCTCTGCCCCTCAGTCAAAGGTACCCTCTTTTCTCACCTGGACAGCTGCAAGAGTGGTCTCCTACATTATTTGCTTGCAACCTAGAATTCATACTCTGCTCTATAGCCAAATTGAGCCTTTAAATGAAATGTTCATGCCTGATTAAGGTCTATAAGTGGTTTCCTGTTTTTTTGTGATGATGCTTTATTATAATCTACTTAAGTGAGCATTTCCCCAGCTCAAGCCTCCAGATTCATCTATGTCACTTTCCCTGTGGTTGTCTGTTGTTCCACTGCAGTGGCCTTCTTTCAGTTCCTCATATGTGCTACATTCAGAGCTTTTGCACACACTGTTCCCTATACCCTTCTTCAAGCATAACACCCATTCATCATTTGGATCACAGCTACAATACTGCATCTCAAAAAAAGCATTGTTATTCTCTCAGACTAGCTCAAATTCCCTACTAAATGTCCTAACCTAACAGTCCCTACTCTTCATAGCACTTATAATTGTATCAGTACAATATATTACTTGACATTTCATGCTCTCTTCTACTAAAATGTAAAATCAGAACAAGTACTATGTTTACATTTTAACCATTGCATTTTCCAGATTTTACAACAATACTTTATGTTTAGCCGATGATCTGTTAAGTAAGAGTAGGAAAAGTTTCTTTCTTGATTACTATTTTGGACAGTCACAATGTGAATTTACAGATAGAGAGCAAAGCAACTATTTAATTTTACTTATCCCATAATTTTCCAAATTATGTTCAACTATGGCTCTTCCTACCATATAAATTATTGGCATTTTGTTGAACAGTTGTGCTACAAGAAACACTGTGTGATAGATACTTTGTGAATAAGTTGTTTTGATTGGTTTAGTGATTTCTGGATGTAGATAATGGGAAGGACCATCCTGCATGTGAGTGGCACCAACCAACAGGCTTGTAGCCTGGATGGAATATAACAGGAGGCTGGCTGCTGCTGAAGCTGCTACTAGTGCTTTGCTGCTTCCTGCCTACTCTCCCATGGACTGTTTCTTCTTTGCCATGCCCCTCTCCTACGCTGCTTGTCTTGAAACCAGCTGACTATGAACTGAAACCTCTACAAAATGTGAGCCAAAATAAACCTTTCCTCCTTTAACATGGATGTTGGGTATTTTGCCTCAGAAACAAGAAAAGAAACTAAGACACAGTCTCTTTAACAAATGGCACTGAGAAAAATGGCTATCCACATTCAGAAGAATGAATCTAGACCCATATCTTTTACCATGTATTAAAATCAAATTAAAATGGATCAAAGACGTAGCTATTAAAACAAATTACTAGAAGATAAAATAAGTAAAACTCTTGAACCCATAGGTATAAGCAAGAATTTTCTGAACACAACCCCAACTGCACAACAAATAACACCAAGAATCAACAAATGGGACTGTGTCAAATTAAAAACCTTCTGCACAGCAAAGGAAACAACAGAGGGAAGAGACAACCTACAGAATGGGAAAAAATTTGTCAACCATTCCTCCAACAGAGGACTAATATCTGGAATATATAAAGACCTTGAAAAAATTAGATGCCCCAAATTAAAGACCCAATCAAAAAATGGTCAATTGAAATGAATAGACACTTCTCAAAAGAAGAAACAGAAATTTCCAATAAGTACCTGAAAAAATTTTCATTTCATCACCTTTTGCCATTAGAAAAATGCAAATCAAAACAACAATGAGAATCCATTTTATTCTAGTAAGAATGGTACCATCAAGAACAACAAAATGCTAGACAGGCTGTAGAGATAAAGGAACCCTTCTACATTGTTAATAGGAATACGTCTTAGTTACTTTTCTCTCGTTGATCAGACAAAATGCCCAACAGCCAAAGTTAAAGTGGAAAAGGTTTATTTAGCTCACAGTTTGTAGAACTTTCAGTCCATAATTGGCTGGCTCCAAGGCAGGGTGGCATGGCAGACAAGCAGAAGGTAGCAAAGCAACTAGGACCTTAACAGTATCTTTCAGTCCTTTTTATGCTATCCAGACTACTTATGGCAGGTAGCACTCACACCCTTAATTCTAGTACCCTTGATCCTAGCATTGCACCATTAATCAATTCCAGCATCACACACTCTAGATCCAGCCACTTCCAAAAAAACCCCATCCATGACTGCATAAGGCTTTGGGGGGACATTAAACACAAGCCATAACAAAATTCAAATTAGTGCAACCACTATGAAAATCACTATGGAGATTCCTCAAAAAAAAAACCTAAAAATCAAAATTCCATTAGATCCAGCTATACATCTTCTGGGGTTTTTCCCAAAAGAGTTAAGAACATCATATTACAGTGATACGTGTATATCAGTGTTTATAACAACACAGTTCACAATAGTTAAATCATAGAAGCAGCCTACATGCTGATCAGCAGATGAATAGATAAAGAAAAGGTGGCATATAAATACAATGGAGTACTACTCAGCCTTTAAAATGGATAAATTTCAGTTATTTGTAGGAAAATGACCAGATCTTGAGTCCATAATGCTGAATTAAATAAATCAGACACAAAAGGTTAAATGTTGCATTGTTTCTCTTAGATGAGAAACTCAAAATATAAACAATTTTAAAAACAAAATAAAAGACAGATGATAAAAAACAGGGAAGTAGACTTTGTGGAGATATGAAGGCAATCTGAGGACTGGAGGATACAGAAGGGCAGTGAGAAAAAGGAAGAATAAAAATGATTAACACACAATATCTATATGTATCAATAGCCCAAGAGGAATGTAATTATTACATATCACAAATTATTATGTATCACAAATTATTATATATTAATAAAAAATGAGCTATTAGGGCTTGAATAACCCCTTTTCTCTGAGCTACAAACCCATCACCTACAAAATGATGGGGTGGGGCAGGACATCTGAGGTGCCTTCACCTTAATATGCTGGCCTGGACACTGGCTCCTCTGGGTAATCTCTTAACTCAATAGACCCCCTAAGGAAGGCAGATTAATAAAAACAGAAAACAAAAAACACTATAATTCTGTACATCTCTCTTTATTTGTGTGTTAAAACATAGCCCAGTAATTAGAGAGATAAATAAGCTTTTTCCCCCCAGGCTGGCCTTAAACTCCTGGGGTCAAGTGATCCTCCTGCCTCAGCCTCCAGTGTAGCTGGGACTACAGGTGTGCACCACCATACCCAGCGCTAAACTTTCAATAAGTATTGTTTGATGTTCCAATAATTTTTCAATTTAAAATGAAGTATTAATACATATACCTATTATACCTATACACATTATACCATTATAACTTCAATTCACCCTGTTGTCTAGATGCATAATATGGCTACAGTGATAGGACCAAATTATATTTGAAGAAGAAAGACTTATTTCTTCAGAAAAAAATGTAACTTATCCAAAGAATCAACATTAAATGAAATGACAAAGTATTTTTAAAGATTCAGAACAAGTAAAAAAGGTTTCAAGGAAAAGAGCCTCACATCCTAAAATAAGTAGTAAGACTATCCTCTATTAAGTCTCATACTTTGCATTACATAACTTATTAGTTGACAAAGAATATAAACTAGTATTGTTTTAATTTTTAAATTCCCACCCCTGTAGACTGTTGATGCTGAAATAAAAATAGTGACCAAATGCTTCAAAGGACAGTTTGCTACAATGAGAACTGAAGACTTCCAAAACAAGACAAAAACATTCCTGTATCTCCCAGATGCCAGGGAAAGTGAGAGAAATATTTCAGTCTCCCACCCAAGAATGAACTCTGTATCTGCACTTTTTTAAAAAGTACTGCTTTTGAAATGATCCAGCTCAAGGTATAGTTTTTAAAAGCACAAAATGTTCCCAAGGCAGAGAAAAGGAAATAAATTGAGAAAAAATTGAAAACAAGGAAGAAGAAATCTCTCAACAAAGTAGGAACTGTTAGACTCTGTGAGTCCTTGAAAGGTTTTGATCGAACCCTATTTGTTATCCTAGAAAAGCTCTTCTGAAGAAAGGTCTCAGTGTAAGCACTGCTTAAAAGAAGCCAACCCCTTGGAACTAGGAATGGCTCAGCCATTTATTAATGTCAAATATGCTGCCTCCATGAATTAGTCAGCTTGTCTTCTGGAAGCCATACAGAAAAGTCCTCTTGCACCTGCTTCTCAGCGTCCTGACACTTCTGGCTTTACTGACAGCAGTAACCACCAGAAAATGAAATTTAAAAAAAAAGAGTTAAACACAACTATATTCTACTTACTGAGTAGCCAATTCACCAATTTTTAAAGGCTTTTTCTTGAAGTATCATCAATGATACAGCATTAAACTCATTCAGATTTTAAGTGAAAGGCAAAACAGAGTCATTTTCCTAAACTGGCAAGAATTTAACCAAATTACCACAAAATTGACCTTCAAAACAAAGAGAAATGGAGCCAGAAAAGGCCAGATTTCTTACTGGCTGTACCACAGTGGCAGATATCCCAGAACTAAGAAAAGTTGCCAAATGACAAAGAAAAAATTAAAGGACTTTCCAAAAGCAGCCAAGCCTAAGGCACTCTGAATTTCCTACAGCTGGAGTGAGCTTCAGAAGCAACACACAGGTACAAGGTCCAGCTTTATTCTTTATTTTCTGTATGGTTCAAAGTCATTAAATCCAGTGTAAAAGAAATGGGCCCCATTTCCTGGACTGGCACCAGACATCCTTCCTACCAGCTGCAATTACATCATTTTTTATCTATCTTCTGTTTTTCCTTTGTGGAGGGTAGGGGTCTTACAAATGGGCCAAAGAGATTTCAACCTCGAAACCAAGGAGAAATCCCTGCTTATAGAGAAACAAAGGGAGTGAGTCTCTTATGAAAGACAGTCAGGAACTCTGCACCAGTTATAAGGGCCATTGATGGTGCTGAAGGTGTCAGGATTACATTTTTCCTGGAGGTAGCACAAAGACAGTGAGGACCCAGGCCTTCATAGCGGTGGGATGCTGTTCCCACCTCCATCACCCCCTCTTCCACTTCAACCTCAGTTCCACCAAATCTAATGACAAACAAGAGAAAGTAATTACATGTAAAAAACCAAAGTGAATGGGAATGTGGGTGAAAGGGACATAAAAGAAATTGAAAATGATCCAAGCTGTTCAGTGCTGCCTTCTGGCATTGTCATGGAAGCCTCTGATCCACTGCTTCATGTGTCTAACTTCCAAGGAGCGTGCTAACAGCACGGATGCAGGATCATAGGCATTGTTGGCTCGAAGATCTAAATGATGGGCTCCTTCTGGGATGGTGATTGCAACTAATGTATGCGAGATGTCTTTGGTTACTCCACCTCCTGACCAGGGGTCTAGGTCACCATTGCTGCAAATAAGGGAAAGAAGAAAAATTAAGGTTATTCATTTTTCATATTTAAACTCAAATAAAATAGGAGAAATCCAGTATATGCCTAACACTTAAAATTTTAAACTCACAGCCTGAGGGATTTGATCTGAGGATCTAATTTATCATTAGAAATGTGCTGATGTCTGTCGTATGAAAAATAGAGATAACAATGTCTACCTATAAGGTTGTAAGGATTATACCAAATGATGCATGTGGAAGAATTTAATAAGTATAAGATTCAGGCATATAGGAATTCTTCAATTAATACTAGCTTTCTTCCTTTCCAGAACCCAACTACTAAAGTGATGAAGAAAAAAAAATCTATATTTAAAGTTCAAATTATTTCTTTGTCAAAAGAAAAAGCCACATTTTTGTTCAACAGGTATAATACTTTGGAAAATGGGATAATACAATTGTAAGTCCCCAGGATCTGGAATCAGAAATTTGGGGCATTACTCAAATACCTTCACTTTACATTAGCTTTAAAGTTAAGAAAGGGCAGTACCACTAGGTTAGTCTTTACTAGTTCATACAACACATTTCAGAATGATATAAACAAGATCCGTCATTGAAACAGGTTGTTTAGTGTAGCTGAGTTAAGAAAAAATGAAAAATGCAGCTAGTATCCCCAATGATATTTTTGAACAGCTTTGAAATATGATTCATATGCCACAGGAGTCACCCTTTTAAAATGTATATAGTTCAATGGTTTTTGTATGTTCCGAGTTGTGCAACCATCATCAAAATCAATTTTAGGACATTTTCATCACCACCCCCAAACATACTCATTAGCAGTCCCTCTACATTCCCCTGACACACACACATACCTCATCACTGTCAGGCCTGAGGAACCACTAATCTATTTCCTGTCTCTATAGATTTACCTTCTGGATATTTCATATTAATAGAATTGTAAAACTGATTGTTATTTGTAACTGCTTTCTACACTTGATCTTAGCCAAAAGGCGGAGAAGCGATTGTGACTGCTTTCTTTCACCTGGCACAATGTTTTCCTGTTTTATACATGTAGCATGAATTAGTATATCATTCCTCTTTATTGAAAAATAATATTCTATTATATGGATAGAACATATTTTATTTATCCACTCATCATTGAGGCCCATTTGCATTGTTTCTATTTTTTTACTATCATGAATATTGCTTCTATGAACATTGTCATATACAAGGTTTTATATGGATATGTATTTTCATGTTTCTTGGGTATTTACCACTGACAATCACCAAAAGAACCTTTTTTTGTGTGTTCTGACATTTGTTTAATGCACACTCCATTTTGGGGGGTTTTATTTTTAAAGCCTAAAACCAAAAAGACTTCAAGACCACTCATCAGATATATGAAATTATTTCCATTATGTACATTAATCATCAAAAAATTCAGCTATAAATACAATCTAAACAGAGGTGACTACTGCTATAGTTTGAATCTTAAATGTCCCTCAGAGGTCCATGTGTTGTTAAAAGGCTGGTCCCCAGCTTGGCACTAATGAGAGATGAAAGAAACTAATTAAGAGTTCGGGTCCAGTGAGAGGCTTTGGGTCCCTGGGGGCCTGCTCTTGAGGAACATTGTGTGATCTGGTCTCTTCTCTCTAGTTCACTTCCCAGCTATCATCCTGTCAGCAGCTTGCTCTATCATGCACTCCTGCACAGGCCCCAACCAACCATGAACTGAAATCCAAAACTGTGAGCCAACTTTTCTGTTTTTAAGTTGGTTATCTCAGGTATTATAGTGTCAGGAAGCTGAATAACAAAACTAATAAGTACTGTATCTTTCCAGAACCTTTCTAGGACACCTCAGAATCAAAGTTTTGTTCCTTACTTACCATTTTTACATGGAAATCTAATCAGATATCTCAAACGTACAGGTTCCAAAACTGAGCTGCTGCTATGATCCAAGCCTAAGTAGCCCCACCACCACCACCACCACTATCTTCCCAATCTGTTAATGGCAACTCTGTCTTTTTAGTTGCTCAAGTTAAAAAACTTTGGTGTCACTCTTTAATTTTTGTCTAATTCATCTGTCAACAACTTCTGATAACTATATCTTTAAATATATCCAGAGTCTTACCACATCTCATAACCTCCTTGATCCAAGTCATCATTATCTTTAGTCTGAATTACTGCAATAGCCTTTCAACTATTCTTCCTCCTTCCATTCTTATGCCTACAATCTAATCAACAAGGCAATCAACTCTATGCTGTAAATCTGAATCAGGTTATACCATTCCTCTGCTCAATACACTCCAAATTTTCCCATTTCGTTCGATACACGGTGTATTAACTACTGTTATTCTCTTATTATTTTGTTATGAAATTTTGATTTATTTTTTTCATAAAATAAAAAAAGAAACCAAAGGCCTTACCAGAACTTGCAAATCTCTACATGACCTAGGCCCTCAGATGTCTCTCTGATGTTTCCTGCTATTACCCTGCCTGGAAGAGAATATGCTGGGGACACTTACCTCTCTCATGACCTGTGCCCTTGCTTACCCCTCTGGAATACTTTTATCTCAGTAAGCTCATGGCTGGCTTCTTCACTTCCTCCATATCAATTTGCAAAACTCATCCTTGGTGAGGCCTTCCTCCTTGCTCTAATCTAAAATTTCAATACTTTCCCCTCCTCCTGACAGTTCATTGACAACTTCCCTAGCTTTTTCTTTTTTTCCCTCCTGGAACTTATATCCTTCTACCATGTTCATAGATACTGTTTTGTTGTATTACCTATTTGTCAAACCAGAACTCCACAAGGACACAGATTATTGACTGTTATTCAATAAATATTTGTCTCCTACTGTGAGTCCGGCCTGGTTCTAGGAACTGGAGATATGATAGTTAAAACATTCAATAATCGGTGTCCTTGTGTTCCTAGAACCAGGCCGGACTCACAGTAGGAGACAAATATTTACTGAATGAATGAAAAAAGAGTATAAATGTCTAATTGTCTATGACCTTGTACTGGATATCCTACATAGATATTTATGAATATGTGTATATGGGTTCATGAACATGTAAATCTCCTTAGTGCTTTTTAACATGGAAAAGCAGAGTTTATATAAATGACTAATACAAATACACACATCAACCTTCAGCTATGTGTAAGAGTAGAAAGAGAAATGAACTAAGTCTGAAGATCTAAGATGTTTTGGTTTCTTTTTTTTTAGATAGGGCCTCTCTATGCAGTTCAGGCTAGTCTTGAACTCACTATGTACTTCAGGCTGGTGATGATCCTCCTGCTTCAGCTTCTGGAATGCTAGGATCACAGGCATGTACAACCAAGCCCATCTCACAGATCTAGGTTGTATAACGTTATTACCTGCATGATTTTGTGTAAGTTACCTGACCTCTGTGAACCTCAGTTCCTACATGTACTATAGAAAAGAAAAATAATACTCCTTTTTCACAGAGACATTGCGAGACTCAAGTTAAATAATATATATAGAAAAAAGGTAAAAACTATGAAATACTACACAAGTATGCTGTGTAATCATATTAGTACCTCCAATAGGTAAATGAATCATGAAAATGGATGTGAAAGAGTTTCTCATAAAAACTTAGGATTGGGCCAGGGATTTAGCTCAGTGGTTCTGTCACCAGCCTCCCAAGTGTAAGGACCCAAGTTCGATCCCTGGTACCAAAAAAAAAAAAAAACAAAAAAACCTTAGGATCCTTATGTGATCAATTTTTTCTAGGCAAATGCACAAATTAAATGAAAGAAATAAACATTTAGGTATGTTAAGTACATGTATGAAGTACAGTTTTAAATTTCTTATTCTATTATAATGTCCTTTTTGAAAAGAATTTAATCATAACTTAGTAATACCACTATTTTTAAAAATTTACTTCAAAAATGTACTTTTTTGTGTTTATTAAAAAGAAAAAGGAAACCTCCCATGGAAAATAAGAAAGATAGCTTTCAACTACCCAATAAATGTTTAAAGTAAACGAAACAAAGGTTGGATTCTCTTAAGTGAACAAATAGCCTTTATCATTATTCCAATTTGACAGGCCGAACCCAGATAGGAAACTCTCCATTATTTGCAAAACAAAAAATCTATCCCAACAGCCACATAATAAGCAAACTGCATTTGATTTAAAAGGTCATCTGAAACAACCTAGTGGCTTAGCAACAGTGTTTGGGGTTGCTGAGAGACCTAAGATGCACATGGACTTGAATTTCTTGGTCTTAGACATGTAAAAACTAAAACAATCATTGGGAAATCTAAAAAAAAAAAAAAAAAAAACTGGCTTTCATGAGAGAATCTAGATGCCTGGGTAAAATTCCCAACAAGCAGCCTCACTTAATCACTAGCAACAATTAATTTGCCTGAGAAATGATGTCAACTACGCTGCTTCTCAGAGACTCCTTCTGAATTTATATTTAAATAATCAGGAATGGCCATTGATAAAATGACCTAAGAGTTGGGGAGAGGGGTTTCATCCAAACAAAACCACTGCACAATTTTTTTTAAAATTTGCTTAAATGAGACTATTAACACCTACTTATTTATTGAGGCTTCATTCACCCAACAAATGTTTACTGAGTGTCCCCTATGTCAGGCACTCATTGGGCACAGGGGATTTAGTAGAGAACAAAGCAGACAAAATCTCTACCCTCGTGGCATTTACTTCCATGACAATCTATTTACTCCTTAAGTAATGCTGCTCAGTAGTCACAATTTCCAAATTATATAAATTGGCAATTTGCCCAAAGCTGCTCAGCCAACTCAAGAAAGAAGCAGAAAGACACCAAGGTCTATTTGACTTCAGAGTCTTAACTGACATATCTTAAGTGACAGACTGAATTTTCCAAACCAAACAGAGGACATATTTGGATTTATGAGCAACAGCCTAAGGTGAGAAGCCGGAACACTTTCCACGTGGTCCCTTAGACGTTCTCTTTCGCAAAGCATACAGAACAGAGACGCCTGAGGCTGTATTTTTACCTCAGGGGAGAATAAGGGTACATTTTCTTAGAAAAAAATTCTGAATTTTTCAATAACTTAAAATTTTTTGCACTGGAATTTTCATACCTAGCAGCCTGAAGTAAAAGATTTCTTTGTAAAAGTAAACTTGCCGCTACGGAACAATAAACTAGCATCTTCACACAGTCCTGCCTTTAAACTTCCACATGCTCCTGAAGCCTTCTATACTGTGCACGTCATCCCTCGTCCTATCAACACACACGTTCATGGGCCTCCACTACGTGCTGGTCAGGTAGCCGGTGCTAAAGGCACAGAGACGATTAAGGTGAAAGCCCTGCCATTGAGATGTTTGCCATCTTCTGGGGCAGACACGATGCAAACAGATTTTCCACACAGAGTGGTAAGAGGTATTTACAGGTCCAAGAGGAGCTAAGGGGCTAATGGATCTCTGTGCTTCCTCAAGGAATCAGGAAAGACTTCTTGGAGGAGGCCTGAGTCTTAAGAAAAGAAGAAAAAGAGGAAGAAACAGGGACATTTGAGAACACATATACAATTTCTTGGGGCTAAAATGTAAAGTGCAAGGTAGAAAATATACTTCCATTTATTTATTCAATAAATATTTTTTAGCATATATTTTTGCCAGATCTGGGCCAACAAATAACTGTATGAGGTAAGTGGTACTATTATTCTCATTTTACAGAAGAAGAGACTGAGAATCAAAGAACTTAAATAACTGTACCTGCAAAAGTTCATTCTACCTTTGCACAGCTCTTTATTTTATTTTTGGTACCAGGGATTGAACTCAGGTCCTTGCACTTGCAAGGCAGGCAGCGGCACCACTGAGCTAAGTCCCCGGCCCCAGCCAGCTCTTTTAGAGAGTCATTTCTTACACTGAGCTATCATTTTACCTACTGGCTTCTGTTCTATTCCTGAAATTTTTCTCACAAAACTGCCCCCTCCTCCAGTGAAGATGATACATGATGATGTTAAGTTTGAAAGCCTGAGTAAAAGACTATAAAAGGGCAAACAGTAACTAAAATATTTATCTGTAGGTTAAACCTAATGAGAAAGGAAAAATGTACTTGACCAAAATTCACTTAGTAAAACCTCATACAAAGATTAAAGACTATAGTTAACTTGACTTGAACTTGAGCTACAATTTAAGGTCAAGGCAAGGAAAAATGAGCCTAAAGTTCAGAATATTAGAAAAATCCATACAAATACTCCATGGAAATAAGCTCCTAAAGAAAAGCAACAAATTCCCATAGTACTTCCATATCTGCTAGAACAAAGATGAGTTTGGAAACTGCTATGATCTGGATGTTCCCCCAAAATTCATGTGTTGAAACAAATTCCCATTGTAGTAGTAAGAAGAGGTGAGGCCTTTGGGCAAATGATTAATCTCAGAGAGTTCTATCCTCGTGAATGGATTAGTGCCTTTAAAAAGGTGTGAAAGAGCCAAGCATGGTGACACATGCCTATAATCCTAGCATTCTGGAAGGCTGAGGCAGGAAGAACACAAGTTCAAGCTTAGCCTGAGCAAAGGGCTGGTGACGTAGCTCAGTGTGAAAACCCTGAGTTCAGTCCCCAGTGCAACCCCCATACACAAAAATGACATTTACAATTTTAGCAACGGCCCTGGTTAAAATGTAAATATTGGTATCTCTTTGCTATTTCCACATAGATGTGGAAAAATTTTTTACTAACTGGTTGTTGCCTTAATAGTTGACAGTTTAGCCAAACATGAAAATTTTTAAGTCATAGTCAGACATCCATAGAGTAAACTCAATTAACTTTGATATGAACCAATACTGAATGTGTTGTGTCTTAAGGAATAAAGTGGAAGAACACCTACAGCATTTGTAGTTAGACGAGTCAAGGTAGAAATCTGGTTTGTCGCATACTTAGTTTGGTTTGACAAGTAACTAAACCTGATGACTTTCAATTTCCCCCTCAGTAAAAAAGAAACTCTAACAATTACACCATAGGATGGTTAGGAAGACTCAACTAGGTCACTTATTTAATGTGTCTCAAGTAGTACTTGGAACAGAACAGAGGGGACACTTCATATCTATTAAATAATGAGAAATTATTATATCAGTAATACATCGTAAAACTGAATCTCTTCTCAGCATCTAGTCTTTCAAGGAAAAAAAAAAAAGCTAATGGGTACCACTGCTGTATTTCTATTGTTTTATTGCCTAGCATTTTTCTAGTTCTAGTTTATGAGTTATTCTACAAGGGTCTCCATCAACCAAAGCTCCTGTTTGGACCAGCAAAGCTCACCTGAAAATGATATTCGAGTGTGAACTAATGTTTTTGCCTCCATACAAGGTGGTGATCCAGGAGGGCCTTGGTCTCACACCCCACTGATTAAAACACTCATCAGAGAATTGCTTCAAGTTCCACAGGAAAGGTTCAAACATGTCATCGACACCATTAGCACAAAAAGGCATGACCATTTCTGTGCAGGCCTAAAAAGAAAACAAGTAAAAGATCCAAAGATAAATGAGGCACAAAGAGATGAAATAAGTTACTCACAGCCATTCAGCTAGTAAGGAGCAAAGCCAAGGTTTGAACTCAGGCAATCAAGCTTGAAGGCCCCTGCTCTCTATTTCCATCCCATACAACCCCTTATTATTCACTGAAAGACTTGGCTGAGAAGTCACAGAAATTAGAACTATGTATTTCTTCTTTACAAATTTCCTTCTTTCACATTTGCTATCATATTTAAACTTCAAGACAATTCTGGAAAGCAAGCATTATTATTACTATTAGTTTTATTGGGTAGATGATAGGAAGAAGACTCACAGAGAGTTGAATTAGACTTCCTTTCTTTTTACATTTATCCATAAAGTGTTTCCTTTATAGGATTCATCAAGACCTATCACAATATTAGTTTAGTTGCCTATCTTTCTCACCAGGCTATATTTGATGGTAAGATCATGTATTAAATATCTTTGTATCTTTGAAGCATGGAAGAATGCCTGACATATGGCAATTGCTCACTGTATATTTGGTGATGATTAAATATATGAATGACTGAATAAATGAGGAAAGTTAATCCTGGTCTCACAGAGTAAAGTAAAAGAACCTAGTATAGGTTAGGTGACATCTTGTATAGTCTCTGTTATAGTACAACTGAATCAGTGAAAAGTAAATTCTACTTGGGAAATCATACATGCTTACCTGATAGCTCCATCCCAGGATTCCCAGTCTGCTAGTTGCTGTTTCTGAAATATTCAGGCATTTCGCCTGGCCTGAATAATTATAATATATATTCAGAGCTTGGAAAATATTCTCCAGCAGCAGGGAATCAGATACAGTAGGATTTTTCAAATACTGGCATACTACCTGTCATTTTAGATAAACAGGAGAAGAGTCAGAATATAAATATAAAACTAGAGTTTAATAACACAAGGAAAATGATTTTAATTTGATCATAAAACATTCGTAAACAACTGCATTGCTTAAAATTTTTTCTGTCTCTTGAGTATAATCCCCTTCATGAAGTAATAAACATTTTAAATTCTCCCCAGTCTGCAGGAATGAACCAATCATTCACATGATATGCAAAGTCCCCTCAACATACCACTGTAACTTCGTCTTCACAACATTGTCTCTAGCCAATGGTAAAACCATTCCCCACCACACCAAGCTCTTCCCTCCCTTTTTCCCCCTGTTCACTCTTTTACTATTCTCCTACTCCACAAATGCCTAGAAAATGCCAACTCATCTTTTACAACATTCAGTTCAATTATCTCCTTCTCTCTGAGTCTTTCCTTGCCTCTATTCCAGAGTCTGGAAGACCTAAAGCACTCCCTTCTTGGTGTTTCCCCTATGCCCCACAGCTATTTCTACCAGAGCCCCTAGAACATCTCCCTCCACACTTAACAAGGTCTCCAGAACTATACATTTGCTGAATGAATGACATACTTTTTAAAAAGTGAAAAATTTATAAGATTTCTTATGTAAAAATTATACTAAGACCCCACATTCGTGGTGTGATAAGAAGCATATCCTGCAGCTCTCTAGCTCCCAAATATTCCTATCAGTGGTCTATAATCACTGCCTGAAATTCTAGCTCTGAGAATCACAGGCAGTACTGAGGGTTTAGCGTGAAGGTAGACACTGACTACAGAGGCATTGGGAACTCCCTCCCCTCAGCCACAGAAACATCCTACTTCTTCAAAGCATCGGGGTTACACAACAACTGGTGTGCTTCTGCGTGCATGTCACTGTAGTCAGATTTTAAACCCCCTCTTAAAAGAAGAATTATCAAATACTGAATTCCAGTTAGGGACATTAAGGTTTAATTATTTAGGGGGAAGATCTCTGCAACTTTGAAATCCATTAAAAATAATATGAATAAAGAATGGATATGTGAATAAATCAAATATAGGAAAATATTATTTATAGAATTTAAATGACAATAGATGGGACTGTAGCTCACTAGTAGAGCTTTTAACACCAGAGAGAAAGAGACAGACAGACAGATAGAGACAGAGAGGAATTTAGGTGGTAAGTTTATGAGTATTCACTATCCACTTATTTTAACTTTTCTGTATGTTTGAAAAATTTCATGTAATTTAATGTTATAATTAAATGTTAGGGAAAAATCATAGGCAATGGAATCATAGCTGAATAACAACAACAGTTACTAATTATTAAACCTTGAATTTACAGCCATTACATTATTAATGCTCAAAACCCCTATCAGATAGATTATTATCCACTACTTCACATTTAAAAATAGGTCCTTAGGTTAAATCATTTTATTCAAGGTCACCCAGCTAGTGAATGGTAAGGCCTAGGTTTGTGCCCAATTATCTCTGGTTATGATATATAGCTCATCCACTATGCTAGTTAGCTTAAAAAGCATCCTTTTGTAAAACTGTGAATAGTCTCAATGGCAAGGAAAAGACATTAAGCTCACATGCTCTATCAGAACTTTGATATGAATTCAGTGATCTCATCCTTTCCCATTTCATGTAGAAAAAATATATACAATAGGCAAGTTTTGACAAAAACAGAGACAAGTCCAGGGAAGAAGTCAGGAAGATTAGAGCCCAGTTACGGGACCCCATATGCAAATTCAGGGCAGCAGGAGAGACAAGGCCTAGGCTGGGGACACTTTCCCAGCCAGGAAAAGAGGGCACTGAGAAGAAAGGTAACAAGCCACAAGCACACCCAACTCCTCATCACAGTTCTGCCTAGGACCGGCCTTAGAAACATGTTCTAGAAAAGAAAAAGAAAGAAAGAAAGAGAGAGAGAGGGAGGGAGGGAGGAAGAAAGAAAGAAAACACTTGACAAGGCAGGGAAAATTTGTTGCCGCTGTCCAAATATATTCTGCACAACAATATTTCTACAGAATGTTGATACTTCATGAAAAGACTTCTCAGTCAAATAATTTCAAGAACTGTTGGATGACCACATGTGAAGAGTTTTATTGACTGCAGGATTTCTCATGGACTTTAACAAGCTCAGTTACAATCTGGCTTTCCAAAGGGAAGACAGAGTATGCATCAATCACTCTGGTCAGTTTTTGGAAAAGCTGAGTATGAGAAAAGTCAGAAAATAAGATGTCCCAATATCTGTATATATCTTTTACAAAGTACCTATGTGAAGTAATAAGCATAATGTACATCCCTGTTCAGGATATACATGAAGAAAGAGAACTGAAATAAACTGAGAGCTTCACAAACCTATCATGCCTAAAGCAATAAGGAAATGCCAGCTGAAGATAAATGAAGTAAAAATGTTTTACTCTTTTGACAACTTGATTATTCATAGCAAGTCAAGAACTATCAGACATTTGTACAGCACTCAGAAAATATTTCTATGAAATATGGCATCCCGAAATACTCCAGACAATATGTAAATCAAGAACCATTCACAAAGACAGGCAGGTCTGCCCACGCCCTACCGAGGTCCTGAGTCGCACGGAACACGTTGAATCACCCCCTGCAGACAGGCAGGTCTGCCCATGCCCTACTAAGGTCCCAAGTGGCACTGAACACGGCAAATCAGCCTGCTGCAGACAGGCAGGTCTGTGCATGCCCTACCGAGGTCCCGGGTCACGCAGAAGACACCGAATCACCCCACTGCAGACAGGCAGCCACCTGGTTCCACACTACAAAGATGCAGAGGACACCGGACCACCAGACCAGGTACTGAGTCCCACTGCTCCCGGCCCAGAGGTAGAAGCTTCTGAGCTGTCGTCCCACTGCTCCTGGTCCAGAGGAAAGGGCTTCCCGGTCACCATCCCTCCTGCTGCTCTCAGCCCAGAGGAAAGGGCTTTTGGGCCACCTTCTGTCCCACTGCTCCTGGCCCAGAGGAAGGGGC